ATTGACCCCAAAGCCTCCATTGCCTTCACAGCCCCTATAGCCACCATAGCCGGCAAAGACCCCAGAGCCCTCAAAGAACCTATTGACCCCAAAGCCTCCATTGCCTTCACAGCCCCTATAGCCACCATAGCCGGCAAAGACCCCAGAGCCCTCAAAGAACCTATAGACCTCAAAGCCCCCATTGCCCTCACAGACCTCACAGCCCCCATGACCCTCTACAGCTCTCAAAGTCCTTAGAGCCCTTATAGCCCTCACAGACCCCACAGCATCTTCAGGACTTTTATCACACCTCAGGATATGAAGTAGATGAGGAATTAAGTACACTAAAAAAAAAGCAACTCTCATGAAGTGTTTTAGCTGGAGAGTCCATTATGCTGCAAAAAGTTATTTCCAGGTTCAAACAGATGTGCTGGTTATGAGTATTCACTTCTCTTGTATACATACAGACTGCTCTCTTTACACAAAGTCTTATTTTTCTAGGCTTGGCTATGTCTCAGATTTTTCAGATGTCCAACTGAATTCCCTTCAGTTGCGCTCCAGTACGACTCAAGGTCAAGTTGTGTGGGCTCCTGGTAGTTCTTTGCGTTCTCCCAGGAGCTCTCTGGAATTGAAAGGAGGTGCCCAAAACTGAGCTCTGTTCTTCATGAAAGCCTTTTTTGAGCTCAGTGGAGCAGAAGAATTATTTCGCTCTTGTCTTTTACAGCCTTTTCCTACGTTTCAGTAGCATAGTCACATTTTTTGTGGTGACTCATTTTCTATTTGTGAACTGCTACAAACCAAGATTTTCTGTAAAGTGACTGCTTCGCCACTTTGTCTTCAGCTCACAGTTTTGCAGCCAATTATTCCCAGCTATATGTAATAGTTTCTCACCTTATTGAATTACATCCTGTTTAGTTCAGATCTTTGTTCCAACTTGTCATGATTTGTTCAATACTAATTACATCTTCCAAAATGCTTACAGCTCCCGCCTGAACAGGGTATCTTCCACAAATATGATAAAAATATTCCTTAGCCTCTTGCCTCACAGAAGCAGTTCAGGACTTGGGACGTGGGCATCTGGAGGACTCTCTGCAAACTTGACACTATTTCTGAGCGCCATTTTGTAACCATTTCACTTAAGTGTTGTGTAGCCAGCTTCTTGACCTTGCTTCATCAGAAGCCTTGCTTCAGTCAAGATTCCATAATTTGCTTTTTTTTTGATGTTATGGTTGATTATTCAACTTATCATCTGACGCCTTACAAATAATTTGCAATTAGTTTACAAATAATTTCTTCCAGTATTTTGCCTGATACAAAATAAAGGTGACTGGCCTCTGATTCCCACCCTTTTCTGGTTTAGGGTAGGCACTATTTCCTTTTTGCTGGTCTCATGGAACCTCAGCTGTCTTTTTGGAGTTTTTGAAAGGAATTGCTCATAGCTTGGAGATTACTTAACCATTTTCCTAAATGTGTTGTCTAAAATTGCAGATTATTTTTGTAAGCATCCTACTTGAATAGATTGTTTCTTTCCTTAGTTTAGCTTGATCATTGGTTTGCATGTTGTTAACATGTGCTGGGTTTGGCTGGGGTAGAGCTAATTCTCTTCACAGTAGCTGGTGTGGGGCTGTGTTTTGGGTTGGGTATATTCTCTTCCCTTGTTAACCACCTGGTTACAGCTGACATTTTGGTGAAGAGCAAAGCAAAAACCATGAGGCTTTGGTTTTCCTCAAATGACTTGGGAACACTTTCCTTGCCCAGCTGAGAGCAAGTCCTTCCCCAACAATCTTTCACGTAAGCTTTTTGTTTTTACTCTCCGTGGCTTCTTGACAGTTTTAGCTTATATTGTGTGTTAATCTTTGTGTTGTTGATTGTGAGAAATAGAGACCCAAAGCCGGATAATTTCCAATTAGAATTTATTATATGATAAAAGCAAATTCAGCGCTGGGTGATCAGGGGGGAGTTTGAGCAACTCTGAACGCCTGTCACACCCAAAGCAGACAGTGTTCTATATTTATTCTCAGCTACTTCATGAATATTCATTATACATAAGCATAAACATTACACATTGTTATGTCAGGAATTCAACAGATGTTTTTCTTAGACAAGAGTGTATCTACATACAAGCATCAATATATATTGTTAAGTCAGACATTCAACAGATGTTTTCTTAGACTTAGCTTGTTGTGTATACAAAGTTATAAATTTTCAAGAAAGGTGTTATTATCTAGTTAACTAAACGAAGTCTCCTCACTATAAATTTTGTACAAGGTAAAAGAGAGGTAACTTGTTTTATGTCTTTATAGGGGCCCAATTAAGTTTTGTGATTTGTTTTTCTTTTCTCTCTCTAGGTTATATTGACCTTATGCTGTTTTCTTTTTAATTAGCTTGAATCATTCCCTTAGTTTATTACATTGATTTTAATAATTTAACCTAGATTTTGCTTTTTTAAAAGGGGCAAGCCATTGAAATATTTCAATTTAAACAGACTCTTCCCTTCCTTTCTTGCTTTCTCACTGCAGTGGTCTAGTTGCAGCCTTGATGTTTGTTGGAAATAAATAGGACGGTTTTATTGCAAGCAGGGGTTTCCATGGCTGCCTCGTGCCGGGGCACTTGGGAACCATTTTGTTTGAAGGACTGGGGAGCCATTTTGTGGTCGGGGACTGGTGGACAGCTTGTGGTTCTACTTGAAGTTGCTTATTGCTGCTGCCTACCTGCTGCTACACACAGTTCTGCTTGGGGTTGCCTGTTGCTCTGCTTATAGTTCTGCCTGCTTACTGCTACTTATTGTCACTTACTGTTCTGTTTGCTTACTGTCACAGTGCGAAGGCGAGCCTGGAAGAATGTAAGGTGGTGAGAGTAGCCTGGGCTCACTGCCAGGGAACCATGCGGCCTGGGCGGGGAAACAACCTGACAGGTGGATGAGGGCAACCAATGGGCTGCACCAGAAAGCAAAGCTCGCCTTTTAAGGAAGAAAAGAGCCGGCATGGGAGGAGCGAGGGAGTGGCTATGTTAAATTGAAGGGTCTTAAAAGGGCTCGTCCCTCCATCCAGGTGTGCTTGAACTGGGTCACAAGTTCGATGCACCCAGTATGCTGTTAAATAAAGTTCCTTGTTTGTTTCACTTTATTTGGCCGTCTCTGAAATTTTAATTAGAGATATTTCTCACAGTGTTGATTCTTTGGGAAATGGAAAACTTTCCAGAGAGTGCTTTTCCTTAATTTTCTACAGTGGGGTTTGCCATTCAAACGGTGACTTTACTGGAACTTATTTTATTCAAGTTCATTAGTTTGATTTTCCTTCCATCTCTTTTGAAGAGCCATTAACTTAATGACCATTGGCACCTCTGCAGCCTCCCAAATTTCTTTCAGAGCAGGTGCCATGCTATTTCAAATTCCTACACTTCGGATGATTTTATTCAAATGAAAGCAGCATGCACTTCATGTTTTTCATTTGTGTGTTGCTAATGGATCTTTGCTGTGACACTGTTGTTTTCCTTTTTGCCATTATTAAAATATTGTCACTCACTCTGTACCTGACATTCCTTTTTTCCTACCTAGGCTTCCTGAACAAACTCTCCATTTCGATAACAATAACCAGTGATGATAATTTATTCATAATTCTGGTTGTGAATATAATGACTTTCAGTTTCTCCTGTTTTTTACCCACATTATACACCAGCGTGCAGCACCTGAGCACAGTGCCAGGGAGACTTTTTTTTTATTTTAATATTCAGTAAAATCATTTTCCTCCTCCCCCCCAATTCTTCTTCTTTCCCCATGCTTTTGTGGTTCATCTAAACCCTGTGGTGTGATAAGAATAATCTGAAGATAGTTTAATTTACAGCAGCTGCAGACAAATGGTAACGATAACAAAGTGGCGGACTGGTCAAACACTCCTGATTTTTTTCTCGTTTGTCTGTGTGCCTTGCTAGCTTTGAGACAGGTTTGTTATAGCAGCCCAGGGCAAAAAAGACCACATAACAAATAAACCTTTATTGAAGGCTGTGGGCTGACATTCCTTAAGGTTTTGCTGATCCACACGTGAAATGGGGAGAACTCAGACAAGCTGTGTGAATGTTGTGGTTAATTTAAATGTAATTTGTTTCACACACAAGACAAAAAAAAAGAGAGGGGGAAAACCCCCAACAAGACCAGCTTTCATTATATAAACATATTTATTTAAACATAAGCAATGACGATATTTAATTAAACATAGACATATATTGGCTATTTAATCATTTGTTTAACCATACCAAACAAACGTTGATAAGCAAACACAATCTACCACCTGGTGAGACTGGGGTACAAAATCCGAAGGCAAACATAAGAAAGTAATTTTTTTCTGAAGTGCACAGTGATTTATGGGTTGCTTCCATTGTCCTTGTGGGCGAGGATTTTGACACGTTTGGGTTCTCACTGGATGCTTTCAGATAGGCGGGAGAGAGGCGTTGTCAAAAGCAGTGTGGACAGCAGGGGAGGGGGGATTCTGCCCCTCTCAGCTGAGCCCCCCCTGCAGAGCTGCTCCAGCCCTGGGGAACAGCACAGCAAGGACATGGAGCTGCTGGAGAGAGTCCAGGGGAGGCACCAAGATGAGCAGAGGGATGGAGCAGCTCTGCTGGGAGGAAAGGCTGAGAGAACTGGGATTGTTCAGCCTGGAAGAGAGAAGCTTTGGGGTGATTGAATTGTGGCCTTGCAGTGCCTAAAGGGAATTTACAGAAGATGGAGAGAGACTGTTTGCAAGGGCCTGAAGTGACAGGAGAAGGGGGAATGGCTTCACACTGACAGAGGGCAGGGTAGGATATTAGGAAGAAACTGTTCCCTGTGAGGGTGGTGAGGCCCTGGCAAAGGTTGCCCAGAGAAGCTGTGGCTGCCCCTGGATCCCTGGAAGTGTCCAAGGCCAGGTTGGACGGGTCTTGGAGCAACTTGGGCTACTGGAAAATGTCCCTGCCCATGGCAGAGGGTGAAACGAGGTGCTCTTCAAGGTCCCTTCCAACCGAAACCATCCCGTGATTCCACGGTTCCGTGTTCCAGAGGGGGCACTCCCGGTGGACGCACAGGACTCCAACATCCCCTCGGGTCCGGCAGGCGCTGCCCCCGCTCCGCGGCACCGCCGGCTGAGGGCGGGGCCGCCCCTCCCTCGCTCCCGCCCCTGTCCGTGCGCGCGCACCCGCCCGCCCCTGCCCGCCGTCGGAGTGTGGCCGGCGCTGTCCCGGCCCTGAGGCGGCTGCGCGGCCCCGCCGGGCTGGAGGCGGCGGCGGCGGTGGCGGCGGCGCGGGGAGCGCGGCTCGGCTGCTCCGGTGAGACACGGGAACGCCGCCTCAGGCCTGCCCCGCCGGGGCGAGGGGAACGGGGCGGGGGGTGGTACGTGAGGGGCCGAGGCGGGGAGGTCGCCTCTCCCTCAGGAGCCCCGGCGCGGGGGGAGAGGGATCCTCCGGCCCGCCCCATGTGACGGGTGACAGCGGCCGCTGACCCGTGGTGGTTCCGGGCCCTCAGGACGGCGCGGGGAGGCGGGGGCGCGGGCGATGGTACCGCTGCCTCGCGGTGTGCCCTGTTTGTGTGTTTTGGATGTGCGTGTGGGGAGTGCCCTGGAGCGGCGCCGCTCCGGGAGCAGCGGAGCCGGAGCGGAGTGCGGGGTTCGAAAAATAAAGTTGTTTTCGTGGTGAGGGAAGGGAGAGCGCCGTGGAAGTGCTGATCTGTCTACCTCTTCCTCCTCGGGAAAAGTGAAGTCACTTCCCAAGAGCCCAAACTAGCAAACTGCTGTCCTAAATCTGTGCCGTCTGCCACGTCTTGTTTTGGTTTGGTTGGTTTTTTTTTTTTTTTTTTTTTTTTTTTTTTTTTTTTTTTTTTTTTTTTTTTTTTTTTTTTTTTTTTTTTTTTTTTTGTGTGTGTGTGTGTTTTTTTTTTAATTTTATTTTTTTTAATTTTTTTTTCCTATCTATATTTTTTCTTCCAGCCCCCTTCCACAGTTCGGCTCTCTCTAACCGTGAGCCGTTACAAAAGTCCTTGTCTTGAGATAAAAATACTTGAAAACCTGCTGAAACCACCTGAATGGTGAATTTCGGAGAATTTCCTCGTGTGTGAGTTCCTATGTACTTTGTTTCTGCTGTCACTTCCAGAGCTGTGCTGTTGAAGCTGCCTGGTTTTGATAGAGTTGTAAATAAGTCATAGCCTGCCACATTTCACAGCTGCCTGCATGTGTGCATCCATCGTTTTGCTTAGGAGTGGGGGAAAAAGAAAGATTTTAAGTGTCAGCTCTTCAAGACTGAGAAAAATCCAGCAACAAGTAAGAAATAGTTTGCTTAGGTTGCTTTTTTCTGTCACTATCGAGCTCTAGTCTCACAAACATGTTGGTTTTCTGCTAGAACTTTGGGGAGGCCAGCTGTGCTTTCCATTTCCAGAGAGAGACCTTTGTGAAGATACAGGCATCATTTGCTCATCCCTTTAATTTCACGAAAGGTACCGTGGCTTTATTTAACTAAATCTGTCTGATATGGACCAAAATACTAAGTGTCCTGGGACTGACTCAGCTCATCTTATGACGGTTTACTAGGGGTTTAAGGTTAGTTCTGCAAGTTATGCCTGTGCCTACGTTTTAAGTAGGATTGTAGCCAACTGTGTTTGTGGGTTAGATAGTGTGATATGATTAAGAGGTTAGTTTGCAGTTTAAACTTGAAAAGACTGTAAATACAGTTACAGCAAGCACAAATTGACTCAGTGTTCTAAGAATTGAAGCTAAATTCGAGAGTTATTGGGGGCGCTCTGCAGTGTTTGCCTTAAGATGGTTACAGTGAAATGTATTGCTTGGTTAAAAACAGCTTTCAGTCCTTTAAAAAGCGATTCGCTTATTAAGATTTAATGTTAGTACATGGCTTTCTGTGTTCCTGGTGTACTCCCTAACATTTGAAGACAGTCTGAGTTGTGGCTGCCCATTCTCTTCTGTCATCAAAGGGACTTCCAGGAGGTGAGTTAAGAGAACTAATCTGGTCAAAAAGGAGTACTTTTATTTCTTTTTTTCTTTTCCTCTCTGAGGTATTCTTCGGTTAGAACAACTTCCTGCCCCAGCTGGGTCCTCATTTTATGGTCAGTAAGTTAACAGCAGAAGACACTACTGCTAAAATAAGCCACCTTGTGTTTTTGATTGACTTAAGCTGCTTGTGGTGAAGGTAGCAATGATAAGGGTGGTAGGAGTTTTTTTTTTTTCTGCCAGTACTGACTTTGATTATGAAGCCTTAGTGTCATTTTTTACTTACTCTCATTAAAATTAAATGGACTTAAGAGCTACCGCTGTATCTCTGTTTTTCTCCCAAGAGTCCACAGAAGTTGCTGTGGTTTTCTTTACTCTCCTTTGCCTATCCTTTCTTGTCTCTAAACTTTTTTGTGAGTCATTAATTTCAAGGACTGATCTGGGCATTTTGAGAGGTTTTTGTAAATTTATTGAGCTCTAATTTAAAAGTAATGAGTTGTATATTGCTATTACCTCTACTTTAATTGGAAGGCTATTTCAGACATGACTGACCTTAGTAATTACACACATTCTGATTTCCAGTCTAGACGAATTTGTCATTGGATTATACCCATTTTGTGCCCCCTGTGGACTGATATATTTTATTGGCACTTTTGATCTTGGTATTATTAAAAGAAAAAAAAGGCAGCACTTTTAACCAGTAGGATGCAAAAATGTGTGGAAATGCACCACTGCAGGATTGTTTTCTCTTTGGACCGCCAGCTGCACTAATCGTTCCTGTAATAGCTCTCAGCCTCTTCCCATGAATTTTAATCTTGATCTATTAAGTGACAATTAAAATGCACCTTTTGAGTACTAACACAGAGCTTCCCGAAGCTCTGAAGGTGTCCTTTTAGTGGAGGTTAAGTTGTTTTCAAGCATATTTTGATAAGATGTGTTTTTTGAGATTCATGCCTTCGGCAGTTTGTTCCAGCCTCAGTCTTACCCTTTTATTCTGGTACAGCTGTTAAAGGAGCCATTATTGTAAAGAGCTTGAAAACTACTTATTTCACCTTGTTCTTGTATTCCTAACTTTAAAAAGAAACAAAACCAATGCATAGATTATTAAAAAACACCTCTGTGGCTTTTAAGGTGTTTATTTAATTTTGATATCAGAAGTGTTC